TATTATATATTCGAACAAATGGAATACATAATGCGTATTAAGAAGTCAGGAAAATTACGTATTTCATCTCATGAAATGAAAATGTATATTAAATAAGCAACATAAATTAAACAGAGTTATTATCTATAGTTAGACAAATAATGAACTGTGTAATTATTCTTAATCAAATGGATCTAGATTGAATAGACGTCGTATAGACAAGTCGAACAAGTAGTATAGATCAATAGATCGTGCGACCACTGTATCTACGTAATCAGACAAATAATGTAGATTGGAAAATTCATTTTAGAAACAATCTGAAGAGAGAAAAATCTATCTTTGAATAATTTTTCTGATGTAATATCGATTCAAATCGTAAGAACCATTACCATGAATGAATTCATAATATAATATATTCCATTGCATATTACTCTATCGCCTTTTATATTCTGATCGCGATATTGATAGATCAATCAAGATTCTTGTAAATTTTCGATATTTTATAACAAATGTATCAAAGAAGAATCGAATTTTTAAAGGCAGTCAGTTAATTTGAAAAAAAATTGCGAATAAAAATATACGATGATATGAATCATACAATAAGAAAATTTGAAACTTCCTATACGATATAATTTTTAGCTTCGTATTTACATGTAAAAATATTATATTTGCAAAAATGAATTCATTTAAAAATTATTTATATATACAAATTAATTTCATTTTCATATACATTTAGTAATACTTTTTATTACTAAAAGTTCAAAATTATCAAATCATTTACAATAAAGAAAATAATTTAAGAGCAATTTTCTTTCCTTATTTTTCAAAATGTTTCATTTGTTATTTTAAAATTCTATTAAAATCTTGTTCATAATCAGTTTGTTCAAAAATAAGAACAAGATAACAACGATATAAAAAATTTATACTTTAATCTCTTAATTGAATAATTTTTTGTTAAACTTTTTTTAGGTTGTTAATTAAAATTTTTTTTAAAGAAACAGAAAATTTACTCAGAGCATAGAGAACTATCCTTTACGGAACACTTGTTCACTTTTAATTAAAACATTGATTGATTTCGCGTTCTCGAGAAAATTTTCGATTTCGATAAAATTTTTCAAATTCCTATGTGATATAACAATCGTCTCATTGAGATCGTCTCAGTGTGGCGTTTTTTTAACAGAATTTCAAAGCGAGGAAATAGCTTAATTAACAAATCAATAAATCAACGCCATTCTTCACAGGTCAGGATTTTTAATTGGCAATGCATTTTTTCCCAGAATGTGGAGCAAGGTTAAATGGCGGAGAAAATAATAGAAATGGGTGAACAGATGTAGATAATAGGAATGGAAATACATATTTTAATATATAATTTGATTAAAATTTAAGAATAATTCTTTTTTATTTTTTTAATCTTATTATTAAATTATTGGAAACTTGTGGAAGTCATATATTTATATCATATGTATTTTTTAAAATTTCGTTTTTATCATTTTGCAATTATTAATTTCAAAGTTTTATATTATAATATTAAACATTATAATCAATTAGAATTCTTTCTTTATAGGTTTATATAAATAGGAAAAATTTTATTTATTTGGAATATTAATAAATACGAAGTAGAATAAGAATTAGATATAAAAAAATTAAATATTAAATACTCTCTTTGAAGGAAATTCTCACCTTACATACAATTTCTCATCTTTTGAAGAACGATTCTTCACTCTTGATTTTTCTTTTTTTTTTATTTCAATAATATCATCATTTAAAAGAGCTCACATGCATAAAACACATTCTTGCCACGTGTAATTTAATTTCCACGTGGTATTCATAGCTTGTACGAATTTTATCATTTTTCATATTTTTACATTTCTTAAATTTCTTGAATTCTATGCAACATGCATTACTTTCAAACGTCTAACCATTAATATAATATAATACAATGTAATTTCTATTTAATTTTCTCATTAACAAAAGAAATTTTCCTAATGATTCAATAATGATAAAATGATGAAAATTAAATCCTTTATTTCATTTATATGAAATTTCTGACCTGAAAAAAATTCCATGTCTTCTACGATCATGATATATTCGATAAGAGTTATAAATTGAAGATTAGAAGAAATATAGCGTGATAATTTTACAGAAATGATGTACGATGTTTTCTGAAACGTCAGATAAGGGAAGACATTAATTAACGGAATGACATTTATTCTTTGATAACTTTTTTTCAAAAGTTACTTAAAAGAAGAGGTAAGAGTAAGAGGTTTTATCAAGTTTTAACAAAGACTAGATCTAAACCTAGTTTTAAAAATTAATTAATGAATCTGATAAAATTTGATAAATTTTTGTTTTTGATAAAAATAGGAGATCTGGATATCCATTTTTAATTTAATTGTCGTTTAAAATAAAAATGATTAAGAGAAATAAAAATAAATTTATTTGTTTTCGAGAAAAATATATTTATTTAGATCGTCAATTGTATTTCTCTTTTAAAAGTTATTCATATATTTAAAGTTTTCAGTGACTAGGATCCTCGTATTTTTGCGATTTTTCTAGACTATTCAAGTCGGTTCTGTTGTTTCAATTTTTTTTTTACGGATTTCTCAGATTGAATCTATGACAAAACAACTAAAATGCATTTTTTTTGGCTGCACGATATCAAAGGAAATTAAAAAGTGGTAATAAAAGGATTCGTAAGGCAACGAATAAAAAAGAACATCGTCAAGTTTCTTTCATGTGGCTGCATGTTGAAATTATATATTCAAACTTCAATGGAAACTGGAACACGTATAGAACAGTATGATATTTTTGTTCTTATTTTAAAATGATACTAATTGTAATCTATAAAAATTTCAAGATAGAAAAAATTTCGTCGATTCTTAATTTTTAAAATTTATATAAGTACAATTAGAGAAACTTAGTAAAAATTTATTTTATTCATTAAATATCACGATATTTACTTTACTTTAAAAATTTCATATCTTTCTGCATATTATACATATGCATATATATTTTGTATATTTTTATACATTTAATTTTTCTATAAATGCATGAACATGCGTAATCTATTTGTTAATGTTTTGGAGGATGTATATATATATATGTATCGTATTTACTCTATTTTATTGGTTTTAATGCTTGAATAACGTTGTTTGCACAGGATATTTGAAATTTCATCTTCCAAGTGCATCTCCACAAGACACATTTTTCGTCATTTCTCCTATTGCAATTTTCCAGTAATTTCTTTCAACTTTCAACCATAAATACGATTTCGTTTGGCTTCATGTGTACACAGATTTGCGGATGACAAATTTAAAAGATTGAATGTATCGATATTTATTTGGTACACAGGTTTCAACGCGAAATTGCGTATAATATTTATATACCGTAAATATTTATATAACTATAAAAATATTCGTTTAAGAGCATTCTCGTGTTAAAAATAAATAAAATAAAATAGTCAATGATCAATTAGTTTCATTATTTTTACTTTGTTACAAGGAATTTAATATTGAATAACTTCAAAAATTTATCTATAAAGGAATATCTAAAGCTTTCAAATGAAAAATGTAAAAAAGCAAAATTTATTCCATAAAAAATTAATATAAAATATCCAATACAAAAAAATATTTTGCAATTCTAAATCTCCAAAAGCACATATAAGTATATATAAATATACATTTATATATATAGTGTCTTTTAAATCTTCTAAAAATTTTTATAAATTTAAATGGAATAAATAAAATAATTGACGAAAGATTAATTTTAATATTTTTTTTTTTTTTTTAGATTTTGAAACACAACCATTATCAATAATTTCAATGACTCGTAAAACACGGTTCATTGATCCAATTCGATTTTTTGCCATCGATATATCCGACCGATTAAACATACATTTACCGATTACAATTTGTAATTATAGATTCCAGAAATAAATGAGTTTAAATCGAGAATCGATTTCAGAATTCAGAAATTCATCGAATTTTTTGAAAATTAAATGAATTTCACCGAAAATTCAAAACTTCTTCGAATGATATTACGTTATAAATCAAAAAGCTTTTTCTGAATTTTATTTTTTCGTCTCTTTTTTTTCTCGTATTTTTCTATCTTATTTTTCTCCTCTTTTTCTGCTTCTATATTCTTCTTTTATACCGTGCTGACCTAAATCGTAAAACGCATGTGTATATATGCATTTATTTTGCAAAACGACAGGTAAGTATATAACTGTGTAATGTGTAACTGTGTAAGTATGTAACTGTATAATGTGTAACTTTGAAATCGAAATTCCTTTTTCGGAACGTAATGTTCTATTAACTCATTGAACGAAGTTGTTTGTTTTTGCTTCTACTCTAATTCTCGTTGAAAGGATGTAATTAATTGAGAGAAATATTCTCTAGTTGATAAAGATTGAAAAATACTATGAGTGGAGTAAAGTTTGGAATTACTAGAACTTGATAATTCATAATTTAAAGTCAAGCTTGTATTTCTGTTATTTTAAAGTCTTTTTAATTTAGAAATTTATCTAATTAAGAGAAATTATTATTAATATTTTTAAAATTAATTTCAAATTTATAACAAAATAACAAACAGTAGCTGCAATTGGAAATTGTTTCCAAACTTTTGATCAGTAATGCAATGAAAATTGTAAATATGGAATATTACAATTGTGATATTAAAATTTCTATCTCTGAAATCTGCCTTCATAGATATTCGTGTTCCAGAAAATTTTGTTCATTCTAATCCATATTTTTTAAATCTTATTTTATTTTTCTAGAATTTAATACATATATATAATAATGCTTAATTGTTGTATTATCTCTTTATGATCAAAAAAATTTATTTATAATAATTTATAATTTCTGTTTTTTATTTCAGAATAGTTATTGATCAGATCAATACTACTTTTTTCTAGACAAACGAAATTGAATTAAAGAGGATTAGAATATAAAATAATTAATCAGATTTATAAAATATAAACTCTTTTCCAATAATCTTTCTAATTCAAACTAATTTTATTTCAGGAATTTAACGTCGCCAAGGAACAGCATGCGGTGCAGCCATGTTCCTCCGTGGTCGTCGAATCAGGTAAAATTTTTTATCCATCTTAATCTTCTTTTTACTCGTCAGAAAATCAGTATGGCACGAACATTTTAATCCTCGATAATCTCACCATATCACATCTATTTTCCTTTCAAAATTAGGTACCGATCGATGAAGACATTCCCTTCGAGCGATCTTGTCATCCACGTCACGCTCTAAAACGAAAACCGGAAGTTCATACGCGCGCCAAGTAATCCCTGCCCGTCGCCTCGTATCAAACTTGTGACCGGAACGTGCACGGTTTAACGATTCCCTTTTATTCACATCGAAATTGTAATCCCTAAAATCCATCGTACAGCGCCTTAGAGTTAGTGTTCCATATAAAATGGCAGCATTGCAACGGGTTAGCACAAAGTGGATTATAGAAATTTACGAGGGATATTAACGAACTTGGTAACGAGGCGATCTCTGGGATGGTCGATTATATTGGAATGATAATTTTTTTGTTGTCGTATGACGTTGATTAATTAACGCCTTTTTTTTTCTAGGTCATTTTCCTTTAACAGATAGTTAATTTCTTCGTGGCTATAGAATTCGTGAAGTTTGAGAAAAATGAAATGGAAAGAAGACTCGTTATTAATGTATGCATGTCAATTATACGTGAATGAAAGATTAAAGTCTTTTGTTTGTTGAAACAAGAGCGAGATTGAAACATAAAAGTTCGAGGACTGTAGGAAAATTAATCATTTCTGCAGTAAAGCATCTCGCGATATATATTTTTCAATACGTATGTAAAAAAAAAAAGTTAAAGAATGTTGATTCTCCTCTTTGCATCCACGATCGAAACATGGATTAATTTTTATTTAAATCTATGGACGAAATATCTCGCGTTTTGATAAAAAAAAATTCTCATAAATGCAATAAAATTAATTTTAATTCGAAATAGGAAGTTTACCGCATCAAAGTCGAAGCTATCCAGGTGGTACCAGTGGATCTGGAAGCATGGGACGATTGTTTACAAGGAATTCATCGGTGAGCTCGCAGAGCTCGTTAGAAGGACCATCTGGACCATCTGGACCTTCTGGATCATCTGGATCATCTGGACCTTCTGGACCATCTTCCAGCCACCGTAGTACCACTACAACGCAGATTCGATCGTGTGGACTTGATGGACGATATCATCATCGCCCCGATCCCTTGCATGCTGCTTCGTCTTATCCACCGAGCAGAAGTTCGAGGTAAAAAAAATTCAAAATTTTAATTAACAAGCTAAAAACTATTTGAAAATGACGTGAAAATGTTTAATTTTTATTTCATTCATTTGTATAATCCTGTGCATTAAATTATTCAATTTTAAAATAATCTTAAAATAATCTTGGAATGATCATGAAAAATTTTTTATATTATATATAAAGTCTTAAAAAAACCTTCTACTTTTTTTAATACTTATTATTTTTAAAAAGTTATTTTAACGGATACAAATAAATATCCTGTATATATAATATAAAAGAGAGTATTCCTTTATTAAATAAACGTTTTCATCAAATAATAAGCTTTCATCAAATCATTCATGAAGATTTTATTAATTGCTCAGGAATTGTTCTGGCATGGTGGGTTACAGAACTTTACTATAACTTATAATTTGGCAAAGTGATTCTTATGAAAGTTTTACAAATTCTTTGAAAAATAATTAAACTTTATTATCATAAAACAGTTAAACAAAAAAATAATAAAATAAATATAAAAAGGAAAAATATCAGAAAAGATATTAAATGAAAGATATCAATCGTTATTATCGCAATTAAATTTTGTTATCACATGGATTATCAGAGATATTTCAAATCCAAAATATAATTATTGTTCCTTCATATTTTATCACAATATATTAAATACATTAACAGTCATTTAAAAATACATTTCATTAATCATTGATTGAAAATCATTCATCGTGCTTACTATTATGTTATTTCTAATTTTGTTATGCAAAGAGAAAAATTGAAATGCACCTTGCACTCGATTCCTAAACGCACAGATCGCCATCACCTGGTCGTACCGCATCGCTAGATGCACGCTGTGGGAGTCCAGCCAGTTGTTCCGGAAGTCTTGTGAGCAGTAATGCATCACCATCTCAGAGCTCTCTGTCGTCTTTGGCAACAGGTGTGAGCTCTTCTTGTGGTGGTTCCTCGATAAACGTTACCCACGGAGCTTCCAGATCAGCTGGCCGAAGTCTTTCACCCCTTCTTATTCCACCATCACGCATTATCGGAAGGTGAGGCATTCTTCATCATTTCGTTATCCATATAAAAATTGTTACTATTAATATTTAATAGTAAAATTTGTAAGAATTGCTTTTGCAAATATTTTTTGTAAATGGATATTGTAAGGGTGATTGTTTAAGAGAATAATTTCCACTTTTGATGCAATATATGATGAAAGATAAATCTTAAGAGATATTTATTTTTAAATATATCTTAACATTTCTAAAAAACATATGTCATTTAAATGAAATATAATCATAAGAAGTCATTTAATAACTGATAAATGAAGAAAAAATTTTTGTTTTGTCTTTCACGATCATTTCTCATATTTTCATTCGAATATTTATCGCACGGATTATTTTTAATCTTTAATTCTTGAATGTAATACCTTTTTTTGTGTAACAGTGACGGTGGACCACCTCCTCCAGCTTCACCATTGGGTTCTATACAACCTGACCTCTACCAACGAAGAGATGGCCCTATTTATCTCAAAGCTCGAGGGTACCTGCAATATTTTTTCATTTAATATATATTTTACTCGTAAATATTCGTTTATTTCTTTTATCTTAATGCAACGAGTCATCGATTAATAATAAAATTTCTTAAATATTTAAAAGATTTTGTTGACTTAATGATTTAATCAAATTTAAATATATAATTAATACATAATGATTGTGATCAAATACAATTTTTATCAATAATATTAATTAATATCAAAGTATTGTACTATTTTAAATATTTACTTTTTTTTCTTATCTCAATGTAAGTCACAGATATTAATAAGAAAATCTATTGAATATTCAAAGAATCTTACTAACTTTATCGGTCAATAAAATTTACATAAAATCGTGTAAGAAAGAAATCAGACACGATTACTTGAATATCAGAAAAAAGCAATATTTTGTTTATCTCAATTCTTATATTGAATTTAAAAAATAAAAATTATTTCAAATTGATAAAAATTTTAAAAGTATGTATTGATTTAATAACAATTTTATTTTACATTTTTTATTTTCTCTTAACAAAATTTTTGAAACATATATGCTAATATCATGTTATATTTTTCGAGAAATCATTTTTGAAGAAAACAATCATGATCACAATCGTAATATTTTATTCTATACGATAATATAGATTCTTATCTCTACGTTTTATTATTTATCATTCATGTTTAATACATATTTTCGATCGAACGTAACTTTGGTTTACTTCGAAGAGATATTATTCGATGACCTACATGTCGATCCATTTCCTCCTTGTACACGCATAGCATCTAAAAGGATTGAATTACTGGATATATGGTAATTGGATACGAAAGCCATCCATTTTATTTGATCAGATTTTTAAACTAGAAACGCGCAGACGATTAATCTTTCGATTAATAAAAAAGAATACATTTTGTATTTCCTATGTCTATTAATTGAAATATGAAATACATATATAATTAAGCAATGTGTACACATAGATTCGCATTTATTATGAAATATACGGTTGACAACGATCAAATGAAAATAACCGCTTGATTTAACAGTGTAATTATTACATAACATTATCAATTCGAGATAGAAAAAGGAAACATACAATTTCATATTCTATTTGATTTTATCTGTTAAAATTGTTCTTTCATCAAATGAAATTTTTTATCATTTCTGTTGAAATGATGATGCGATAAGTCTTATAATTGGGAATAAAAGAACATTTATATAAACTAGACAAAAAATATAATAATAGACCAATTTTTTGTATTATTAGAAAAATGAATGAAATTCTATTATATAAAAGAAGTTATATTATTCGAAAAATTATTTGTATTATGATTATGTATATATATCGATGTAATTTATAATTGAAATTAAGGTATATAAAAAAAAAAGCTTTTCTACTATCGAAACATTATTGAATGTTACGTTCATTATAATATCAATAGGAAATCGACTAACGTGTATCGTGTTGATTGTAATTTCAGAAATGGAAAGAGTTTAGGCCGACTGCATTTGCGATTCAAATACGACTTCGATCGATCAGATTTGCATGTACACCTGATCGAAGCGCACGATCTGGCTGGAAGTGATCAAGGAGGATTCAACGATCCTTACGTGAAATTGATGCTCAATCCTGAAGTAGATTCGAGGAAACGACAAACACAGATATACCGTAACGAGTCGAATCCGTTCTTCGATCAACAATTCAAATTCCCTGTCAGTAACGACGAACTTCAGGACAGGACTTTAGTTTTACAGGCAATCAATACAAACATTATTACTGTATCGTTAATTTTTCTCTCTTTCTTTTTTTTGTTCGTGTATCTTTTCATAAACAAAATTCAAAATTTTTAATGATTGATTTTTTAATTAATTTTATTTTATTTATATTCTTCTTTTATTTTTTAATTGTTATATAAAAATTGTTATTATATACTTTTATATAAGATTCTGTTCAAAATGAAATTTTTAATGATTATTTTATTTTATTTATTTAATTAAATAATTTTTTATCGAATATAATCTTATCGAATATAGAATAAATATAGAATAAATATGTAAATAAATATTAAAATTTCTTATCAACGAAAATTTTCGATATATTTAATAAGAATTATTTTAAAAAATAACGTCTTATTAATTATATTAATGTTTATTATAACATGAATTATAAATATTTGTTAAGTTATATGTAAAAAGAAATAATTATTTTTTCAATGTTAAAAAAATAAAATTATTCTAACCTATTTAATAGGTGCTCGATTACGATCGTTTCTCTAGAAACGATATAGTCGGATCTGTAAAAGTACCACTACATATTTTACGATTGGATTCACCTACCTCGACCGAAGAAGTTTGGGGAGAGATTGAACGCGAACGAAAACCACCTGAACAAATTCAAGAAGTTCTATTATCCCTTTCTTATCTTCCAAGCGCCGAACGATTAACAGTTCAAATTTTGAAAGCGAGAAATCTATTTCCACCGCAGGTAATGATAATTTTCAATTTGCACAACTTTATTTATCTATACATATATTTTAATAATTTTATTACATATATTTTAATAATCATCGAAAGAATATTCATTTTTCAATTTTTTTCATTAATATTTAATAGTTAATTTTGATTTGCATGACTATTGAAAAAAGTAAGGTTATATTACCGGTTAATAATTTCGTATAATTCCGATTAATAATTTTTGTTTTTTTTGATTTATTTGTTTTTCTTCCAAATGAAAATTGATATTTATCCTTCTGTATAATAAAGAAAACATTTATAAACATATTAACTACAAGTCTTACAATTTATTTGTACTTCACAGGACAAAGAAACTTTAGATTCGTTCGTGAAAGTAAATCTTCTTTGCGGCGAAAAGAGAGTGAAAAAAAAGAAAACCGCTGTAAGAAAAGCTACGACAAGCCCCGTTTGGAACGAGGCGATGTCTTTTAATGTTCCTGCCAACTATCTCGCATCATCAGCTATCGAGGTAAATACACATATATGTTTCTATAATATTTTTTTTTTTTCTTTATAATAATCATAGTATCATGCAAACCGATTATGATAAGTATTTCAAAATACGAGAAAATGAAAATCAATTTTCATTGAGAAATGTGATTTAACTTGTGTTTTTCTTTTTAAAAGTATAATATTTCTTTTTATACTTGTTATTTTTCTATATTCTATATTCTATTCTAAGACAAAATATGAAGTCAAATCAAATTGTCAAACTGAAATAAATGAAAAGTATAATAATAGAAAAAAAATAATAAAATTAATTTCTTGTTACATTAATTATTAAATTAAATTCAATTGATCGTAATTTTTACATAAATCATTCTCATTGTTAGGAAATATTACTTTCGTATCACATATAATTAACCTTAAAATAGTTTTTAATATTAAATTCAAAATAAAAGCTTCGTTTTCTATATAATCAAATTATAATAATTTTATGCTTTTAAAATATTATTTCAATTAACGATTCATGAATTGTGAATAAATAACAAAATTCTACAGAGATAAACATGCGAGACATATCATATGGTAATAAGAAAGAAAAATCAAATTTTCATTAGTATAAAAAAAATTTAATTTTCAAATTTTATATCGTTGAATACAGCTCACCATTTTTTTCACTTTTTCTCACTTGTTGAAAATTATTCAGAAAATTAGAATAGATATCACATTAGAATCAACAAATATAATACATAAAAAAAAGAACTTTCAATGCCATTTCTATGATGCGCGATATAATATGTATCGCAACTTGAGAACACGCAATTTGTCGAGTGTAAACGAGTTCTATCGATTGCAAGTTATCGATTTGCGAGAATCGCCTACAAAACTTCGTAACAATTTTGAAGGAACCAGTTCTACGGAATTGAAGATTGATTGAAACACCGATTATTTATCTATATAAATTTTTAACGAGATTTATTAAACGAAATTTTAAAAGAATAGTATGAATTTGAATTAAAATCCTTAAAATTTCATAAAATTATTAAATTTATATAAAAAGAAATAATAAAGGAAAAAATTTTAAGAAAATCTTTGAAATTTCGTTTCATAACCTCAATGTTTATTACCAAATAATAATTTCAAAAATAAAAATTGCACATATAATACATAAATATATCTTATTGAATGAAAAATTTAATTCTGCAGAATCATAACGATGTTAAATTTTTTACATTTTATCTTCATGTTAATAAAAAAAAGCAAAATGTGTTCTTGTTGCTAAAAATTTACATACATTGAAATCGCGTGTTTGCATGTGAATCATGGAATATCGTTCGCGATTGAATGTTTTATCTTTTTAAAAATTCATCTTAGATTAAAAAACGAGAAAGATATTAATGACAATTTTTATAGTAAAACGACAGAACTATATATCGGTGAATAAATTTTGTGAATATTCTCAAATAAAATATTGACATGAAATAAATGAGGATCCACAGTAGTTTGCAAATGTTTTAAATTGATCCATCTCCTCATGAAATAAAAATTTCTAATTGATTATAATAAAATAAAATTTCAAAATGTTTCATATAATTATATTTTATCTAATATATAAAATCTTTTAAAGTTTGTGAATACATGAATACAATTAAATAGTATCTGTATATCTATACATATGAAAAAAATATTTCAACTTTCTATTTTTTTCTTTTCTTTTAATTATTTATTTTATTCCTCCTTTTCTCTTTATTTTATTACAAGTTTGCAAAACATCTCTTGAATTATGATTCTTTATTTGTTTGAATGAAATTCAATTTTTTATTAAAAGCATTAATTTAATGATAGAAGAGAAATTAAAAAAAATATATTCAAAAATAATCAAATACAATTTTAGTTTCGATATTAAAATATTTGAATAAAAAATGATCACTATAAATTCTATATCAGATGAAAACTTATTATAGTAATTAATAGAAAAATCATATATTTAGACAGATTAAATAGATTAAACTTACTAATCAGATTGTAAAATTCTACATATATTAATCAGTTTAATTAAAATTAATTAAAATTTTCTAGTTATAAAAATTAAAATCTTTTTATATAATCTACTTATATAAAAAATATTTTTATTATAAAAAGAATGTAAAAATTAAGCATAGTAAACGAAAATTAATAAAATTATTAAAATAAAATTTTTTGCAAGGTATGTGTGATGGACTCGAGCAATGAATTTATCGGAGGAAATGTGATTGTTGGTTCCTGTATCGTTGGTCCTGCCACAGGAGTCATTCGTGGAGTGGAAGGAAGTGGAAGTCAAGGAAGAGAACATTGGCTTCACATGACTCAATCGCCA